CGCGCGTTGTCTCTTTCGATGCAATAAAGCGAACTTCTTGTTGCGGAAGCGTGGCAAAAATGGCGAAATTTACCCTCCGGCGCGGCGCAACGAGTCGTGTGTGTGCTCTTATAATCGTTATGAAAATAAACGTAGTAAATATCGCGCGCTTATAATCATTATGAAAATAAACGTTACGCGAAAGTTGTAGTCTCCAGGAAAAAAACTGGGAAATTATGCGAACTATTTTTCCGCTTCGCGGCACGGTCGTTGTAGCTCGTAACCGTTACAAAGAAGCGCGATCATCGAATTAATAAACGGCAGATTTCCCGATTGCGTTAAATCGACATACTTCGTAATAGTTAGGAAGAGCCGGAGAATTGTGGAATTAAGAAATACGAGGGCAGTTTGATAGGTTAGTTATTTAAGAGTTAGAATTTAAGTTAATAGAATTAAAACATTCTTTTCCTTTTATGATTATTTTTTAATATGGTTTTTTAAAATGTCACTAACTTATTAAACTGCCCCCGTATTTATTAATCTGTCGTACATGCTTCAATTTCTTAATCGCTTACTGTGAGAAATATTTGTGATAATTGGGATACAGAGATAGCTTACCATTAGCGAAGTTTATCTAAAAGTCGATTGACAGAATAGATTCGAGAAAGGAAGTATAGCGAAGTTCTACTTTTGCCAAAGGAATTTGGCGTCGAGTTTTTCTCGAGGAAAATTTAATCTCTTGATGGCGCGATTCCATTAGATCTTTTTTATTTAAGATTGAATATATATTAAACTTTAAGTAGAACAAATTTTTAACGAAAAGCAGTCGATATTTTAATGCTTTAATAATCTCTTTTAACGACCTTTTATTTTATACTGGCTCTTTTTTTCTACGGCACATTTTCTGTTATCCGACGAGTGATAGTAAGCTTTAATTAGAACGTCTTGTATACAAACTTACGAGAGATTATGGCGGATGCAACGAGAGTTCGTCTTTTATACACCAGCTTCGGGCGATGAAAGCGGCACTTAAACGACTTTTTCGCGATACTGCAAAGATATAACACAACGAGCCTCCCAAGACAAAGCTGACGATTTAATGCGCGGTCCGTGCAGCCGACGTTGGATTATTATGAAAATGATTGTCGCGGAAGCAGCAGTGTGTGCACTATAAAGAGTCGCGACTAATTGTTATGCTTCCCCTAATTCTTCGCGTAATGCGTCCCAACTCTAGCCCTGTATATCTTTATGGTAATCCAACGTTTTAACGTCTTTTTGCCGGGTATGCTAAAGTCGTTTCTTCCTTCGGTGTCTTCGCACTACTATGATAATAAATGCTGCGAAAAGAATTAACGATCGTCCCAGCAGGTCTCTAAATATAACAGCGCAAATAGTCTTTGTTGCTGACGCATTGAGAATTTTATCTTTTAAAGATGAAATTATATTTTTTCCAAAAGCGTTCGAGCGACATTTTTCTAAAAAGGAAAGTAAAATTGATCACGAAGTAATTAACAGTATTTATTATAAAATACATATAATTAGGCATATTTTAAAACGCTCACAGCGTTTACATTGCGTTATAGTAATATAAAGCACATACAAGAATTAAGTAACAAAGGATTGGACAAAGTAAATGGATTTTCTTGTCTTTTTATATATTTTTGATAATAAAAATAATTTGCTAATTATAAATTTTATCGAATTGATGTTAAGAAAGAATTGAATATTATAATAATTAATCAAAGAATTACGTTTTGCGAATAGCTTTGTATTTCAGGTATATTTTGCATATTCACCGTGCAAGTCATTTAAACGTGAATTGCGTTCTGTTGGTTTCGCTTGACCTTCCACATAAATTCAGCATCATCGTGGAATCGGGCTTTCACGAGATATCCGGAAGCACGTCATGTATTTGCGCATTGTCATTGTGAAAGTCACATATATAAGTTCTAGCACCGGTTTTGTTCAATGACAATCACGCCGTTATTTCATCACATCTTGCGATGACCACCAGTTTCTCGCCGACCTTTGATTGTCATCGTATGTCAGTCACCTGTCATTCTATCACAGCGATTATCTTTGTGCTAAAAATGGAGTTACTTATTAACTAAGTAAGGATTTGTAAGAGAAGAGAGAAATAAAATTATAAATAAGAGCGCAATTAATCATGTAAAATCCAGAGACAAACTAAAGAGCAATTCGAATATTTTGAATAAAATAACAAACAATTTATGGATTATCAACGCGGTAAATTAGTGAAATCTAGTTTATATTCGCGTTTGTTTTTGCAACGTTAATATTATACAAATATTTTACTGTCGTATTTTGTAGCATGTGATTTTACAATCTTGACACAGTCTTGGTTAAATACATATGTTGCGATGTACTTAATTTATGTATATATAAAGTATATTGGCAATGTGCATGTACGGTATATATTTAACTAAATGGATGCATTTTGGTTATAAATAAAATAACTAACATATGCGAAGCATATTTATGAAGGCACTAACGAGTTCTTCAAGCATTCGTTTCAATTTACCATGCTCTAATATTGTACATATTTATATCCTCCCTTGCAAAAAAGGTTTTCTTCATAATTAATTCGCTGCTGCATTTTGTGCGGGATATAGTAATATGGCTGAATTTGTTTTCACAAAAAGCGCGTACACAAACTATTTTGACATACATATTTGCCTCTTTGTTAGGAAAAAAACGAATATTATTGTGTTCCAATCATAATTTATTTTTCTGCAAAAATAGATAGGATTTCTTCGTTTTTGTATTATAAAAAGTTTTTATGTTATATTCGAAGCAACAATTTATTTGCGCAATTTTATTTTTGCTCATATTTCTATGGCATATTACATCAGTTGGGGAGCGAATATTTATGAAAACGTCAATAACTTTTCTACACCTGCATTATTTTTCAATATTTTAATTTCCACGCTTTCAAGTTTCATCTTTCTTGAAATGTTCGCTTTTATAATTTATTAACAATATTTTTACGGGGTAACAATATGATTTGATATGACAGATGTAGAGCATGAAACTGCTATTAAAATTATTAGGGCATTTATTATGTTCTTATTTAATTGAGTTTTTATATTAAATTAAAGTTCCAACGTATAGACGAACATTTTAAATTTTTGGGAGTGAAATTTCACCGAAAAAGCAGTGATAGTTGCATTAGTCCGGCAAGTTTACTCCGTTGAAGAAATGAATTTTCTAATCTAACAAGAACTTTAATGATTAATATCTCATTTCGTGAAATAGAGCTTTTTTTCTGTTGGATTCGTTCATTTTGTGCAAAAATACGTCGAACTATAAGTCTGTAATTTTGTCAAGATGTAAGGGGGTTAAATTTAACATTTATCAGAGTGAAATTTCAGTCTCTTCTTTTGGAGAGAGTGAAATTATTCACTCTGCAGAGAGAGAGAGAGAGAGAGAGAGAGAGAGAGAGAGAGAGAGAGAGAGAGAGACTAGATTGAAAATTGAAACTCGCTTGGAGGGATTCTTCGCTCTTTAAGAGTGAAAAAATTCATTCCTGCCGGACTGGCGCAACTATCACTTTTTTGAAATTTTGAGAGTGAAATTTCACTCCCAAAAGTTTAAAATGAAAGAGACTAGGTACACATACGCTCGCTTCCGAAGTTATGATTTATTTCTGCCATGTGGCCTCTTTGTCATAATTGAATGTCGTGTTCGGCGTTGGTGAACGTCACCGTATGATATTAATCCGTTTCGCGTACTCTTCTCTGCGGAATTCGATGGCGCGAACGTCAATCTTAGTCGACTTTGATCTCGTTAAAGGCGGATTTGTTACGTAAATGCCACTTGCAGGAGTGAAAGAGCGTGTGTATATTTAGCGCTGAATCCGTTAGTGGCGAGAAGCCACCACCTTCGATCCATATGATGTTACATGGTTTCGTCTTAAGCTGTCTTTGGAGGTTCGAAGGTTTCGAACGTTTCGAACGTCGTAGCTTGAAATTGTAGGAGACATCCATCGTATCAGATCACTCTCGTGAGTTCATTCGCAGGGAATGAGAAACGATAAGTGTCACGATTACGAGAAATCACATTTTATTTATCGGCAAGAATTATTTTGAAAGAATTTTATTTTAAATATTTAAATTATCAGAATTCTCTGATATTTCGTTGAAATATATTGATGTATACTTTCAATATAGCGCGGATATTTAAAATGTTTTTTTTTTTTTTTAAATTATCGATGCATGTTCTTTCGTTATCGATATTTTGTTGTCATTTTACTATAGCTGCTTTATTCTATCCATACAGTTTAAAATATACTCACATAGTAAGTACGCACGAACTTATGAACTGACCTGACATTTCATACAAAGTATCACTCGAGAATGATACTACGCCGCGATGGAGAAATCAAGATATTTATTCTCTACGTACTTGCGTTATTTTCCTCTTTCATGCGCGAGCAAATCGGCATACTGTATGAAGAGCTTGTACAAGCCGATACCGGCTTATGTATATTTCAGTTAAAGTAATACGCTTTTTTTTTTTATATATAAATCCAGTGAGATGGTTGTGCTCGAGGATTTTAGCTCGACGTTTTAGCTGTATATAATATGACCCAGAATCCTTTGTCAATCCTTTGTTTCTATGCGAAACGGTGTACTTCGAACATTACAGCTACGCGAGGAATTTACCGTATTTTACTCCCCATTCGATGTTGGAAAGATACGTATTCGGCAGATCTCTTTCTCTAAAATAAAACTTGAAATACTTTCTCTGAAAATAGTTCCTCTAGATAAATAAGATACAATCTTTCGTAATCGTAATACGTACACACACTTAAAATGCTTCGTTCTTTTGCCTCGACGATTCCTTTTCCTTTATTCATGTTATTACCAGATTATCGGCCTTCTGCGTAATGATCCGGAGCGAGCCGAGTCGAGATATTATGGCACGCGAGAAACGCCGATAATTACTTTTCCAGTCTCAAAAAATTCTACGGCATTTCACAATCACAATTTATCTTGCAGATCCTGGACGATACGCTTGTTTCACGACGCGAGTCTGTTTAGCAAGGATGTATCCTTTGAGAGCACAAACGGACCGATATCCTTCGACACATCGCATTCCTACGTCGGTACTGTTTTGGGTAAGTTCGCTTATACTTTTATTTCCTCATCGATCGAAGAATACACAAATAGCTCTTCATACATTGCTTTAATATAACCATTAAATGTGACATAAAACGAAATTAAATTAGCACAAATGTACTATGTTAAAAATCGACTTGAATTAAATTGAATTTCCTATTTCTTCGTGTAGTTTATATAGAATTTTTCATCTCATTACATACGCATTAAATTATTATCTCTCGCTGCGTTATCGATACTATTTTAACGCTGCGGTAATTTTTGTTGAAATTATTTAACGATTTGGTCGCTGTAGCTCGCATTCCGCCGCGGTTATTAATTTAATATTCAACGTATATTGACGACAAAAATAGTATAATTTTACGGAGAACTATGATATGAATATTATGCGTATTCTCTTGTATAATAATTATTAAAATTTTAATAATGTAATTATAATATGTAATTGATAATGGAAGATCTATTTTCTCGATATTTTATTATATTTATCCCGCGCTACATAGAAGATCGATTATTCACATTGATTTAAAGATAAAACACAAAACGCGTGTGTCAAAGGGACTAATTACGTTGGTAGATAATGCCGCAACCGAGTCGCGGATTTTGATTCGAGATTATCCCAGGATAATCTCAACAATCCGATAATCTCAATGCTCTCTCTCTTTCTCTCTCTCTGTCCTATGCTGCGTGTCAACGTCATAGAACGGCGCACTGAGAGCGCTGTTGATAGTCATTGCAGCAACCGGATCAATATTTATACACGCTCATTCTGCGTACCGGAATTACATTGCGTAAACGAGGCGTATTACTGTCATTAAGCCGACGGCGTGGCACCGCGCGATCACGGGCGAAAGAGTAAGTAGTGTCAGCACATTTCGAGATTAGGCGTGGTATTATACGTCGACGAGCGTGTGCATATCCACGGACAAAGTAATTAGCCGGTATCCCTCAACTTCAACTTCGTGATGGATAGCGTGCGGCCACCCTGTCCGCTATTTCGAGGCGGTTTCCGCTTGGCACATGTGCAGCATTCGTCGCCCCGGTAAGAGCAAGCTTCGGCGTACCTGAGGGTGCCTTGTTTAAATCCTTTGATGCACTCTATCCGTTTTCGTATTACTGAAAGATTTTACCTGATTATAATTGAATACTGGTTGCTTCAATCGCCACGCGGTGAAATTGCAATTTGAGCACAAACGTAATTTTAATTTAATGAAGAATTTCAAACGTAAAGCATAGATAATATACAGTGAAAAAAATTGACTAAATTTTAATTTATATTTTTTGAAGTAGTACTTACAGTAAATAAATATTTACTTAATAAAAAATGATAGTTAAATTAATGGTTTTTGTATCGAATAAATATACGTTTATATTCAGTAAATATTTATTTAGAACTATTTAAACAAGCATTTATTAAAATTTAGTGTTTTTTTTTCAGTGTACTGTTGACGAAATTTTGTTAATAACGAACGCATTTATTGTGATTATCAAATGTTACTTTTTCGCGAGCAGTTCAGTCGAGGAGCATCTCCAACTTTTATAATTGTCACAATAATTCACGTTTAGTTTAATATATTTTTCGAATATATCTATAACGTGGAAAATAATTATTTTAATAAATTAAGCCGTACGTTTATACAACTTTGTGCTTTAATTTAAATGAAAATAAGATCTTACAATGTTTATCGGTTTTTCTATCGATTTTTCCAAACCCACAGGATTTCAGCATGCAAACAACGAAAATATCTGAAAACTCAAAAGTTATGTTCAAAATGGATTTTTCTTATCTCTATATAATGGTCTTTCAGGATATCCTTTGTATCTTAATAAGCCAATATTTCCAAAACTACATGCATAACAAGTGAATTATGTGTAACGCACGGGGATTTATTTTGATTCCCAAAGTGCATCAGAGGATTAACGCTTTGTTTAACGTCATTACATAACCGCAGATGGTTTTCCGGCTGAATACGATTTCAGTAATTCATTGAGCACGCCCTCATTAGTTCGCGTCGCTAATGTGCCCATAAATAATTGAATTTGTTCCGTGTTATGCGAGTCAGATACGAGAGGGTCTGGTGAAATAATCCTTCTTGATTGGTCCTTATAAAAACAATTTAGTGATTTATTAGTACCGCGTCTAGTTATATCTGTGTAATTAATTGGATGTAGTTATTCCTTTCGAACGTAGAATGTCGCAGGAAGTTACGATTAGAAATCTTACATTCTTCAATTTTACAAGTGTGGGAAAAGACTAGATTGGACGGTTTATGCCGTTGGTAATTTTCAATACGAAATATCCTGATAATTTTAAACTTTAAAGAAAAAATTTGTTGAAGTAAGGTTGACATCAAATTAATCAAAGTAAAAGCTTCTTTTTGCCATGTAGATTATTAAAACTCGTATCCTCTGTTTAATTAAACTCCTTCGAGTTTCGATTGCTTTTAATATCTTTTTACTAAACCGTACTGTTCACAATAAGTAAAAGATATTTCCGAGCTATTACATCTTCTTTTTCATCTCTTACCAGCAAGATGTTTTAGATTCTACAATATAGGTTTTTGTAATAATACTGAGCCCACTAATAACAGCGTCGATTTTTAGTAATAATTTTCTTTGTCGAACATAAGCAGTCTAAATTGTTAAATTATTTTTAGAATCTCTTATAATATCTCTTATAATCTCTGTATAATAGAAGAAATAATGTCTCTGCTAACAGTAAAAATATACTAATTCATTATAGAATCTACTATTTTGTGTGAGTTAGGTAACATTATCACTTATTTCCTTCAATAAAATAAAAGAAATTAATTTAATTTAATTTAGTTTATTGCAAAAGACTACATGTTAACAGAGTAATAGACATAAAATATGATACAATAGACTATAGCATAACATAAACATAAATATAATAGACAATAGTAACTTGCAAATGGTTAGGCATCAGCAAAATTGCTGTTACAAAGCCTACCAGTAACAAAATCAGAATAAGACAACAATGTAATAAGAGGTAAACCAATTGCTGAAATCGGGGGCTTAGTAAATAATGATAAAACAGTAATAATACAGGAAGTAATAATAACAGGGGTAAGCTGTCACGGAAGACTGAAAAAGAGTCAGATCGATCGGTGACGCCCTGCACGCCCAACCAGTATCAAATATTCCCCTCGTAACTTTCCGCGACTCTCTCGTTGCGACCCGGAGCGATCGAGAAATAAATTTCGCGTTCGAACGAGCGTATCTCGAAGCGGGTCGCGTGCGCCTCGCCGCGAACGCATCGGAATGCGCGACGTACAATGGACGGAAATGCAGGCTGCGCAGTTCTCGATTTCAATTCGAAATTATTTGAGAGCCGCGCGCGTGAATCGCACGAGGTACTGTTTGGCGCATTGCGAAGAGAACGAGAGAGGCCATTGCGTTCGAATTTGCAAAAAAAGTTGGGAATTTCGCGTATGAATTCCAGAATGAATTCCTTCATCGTTATTTCGCGCGTTTCTTTCGCATTTTCAATTTGATAACACACTTATATTATTTTTCAATCATGTTGTTTGTAATGTACACTGGATGATTTTTTTTTCTTTTTTTAATGAATAGTCGTCAGTGAACATTGTGCTGTAAACGATTTTTGTCGCGCTCTGTCTGATTTTCCACGGATCATATTAGCCACTTGACATTTCCGGATAGCACGTTATTTTACTCTCGTCGTTACGTTAAACTAGGGATCCCATTTCGTCATAGCCATCGCCGTTGTCGTAGTTTCTCGTCGTTTGGAAACGTGCCAGATTCCCCTATTGGAGATACACTGCGCGGTTACTGTACCGGAGGGGTCACGAATAAGAGGTTAGTACAGACCATAGACTTTCGGTGGGAAATAAGCGTATGTCTATGGTTGTGACTAGAAATATTGGAACCATGGATTTAAAGAGCGATAGATTTACAAGCCGGTCTTTTTTGTTACGAGAATCTCTTCACACAATGTTCGCGAATTGCAATTGTTTTCGTTACACTGTTAAAATTACAGTGTCAAATTTAATAATTTGAATCGCCACTGCTTCTATTCAGCGTATCGTTAGTTTTATACATTTTTTAGTATAAAATAACGATATATTGACGAGCAATGACGACTTAAATTTGACACTATACAGTACAGTACAATAAAATTTTAATGTCTGTTTTTACAAATTTTTATTTTAATAATTATACGCTCTGCGAATATAAGTATACGTCTATGGTTGCGACTGAAATCATTGGATTTAAAGAGTGAAGGATTTATATAAATCCATGGATTTAAGGAATGACTGAAGGATTTTTATAAATTGGTCTTTTTGTTCGTAGCGAGAATTTCTTCAACCTTCACGAATCGCAATTATTTGCGTTATTATAGTATATAATAAAACTTTAAAGTTTATTTTTACAAATGTTTGTTCTAATAATTATGTACCTAGAAAATAATTAAGTGAATACTAAATAATCGATAATTTTGTTTACTTGTGTTTTTACATGCAAAAGAGATTTGTCTTATCTTTTCTGTACATGGAAATATTTTCTTTGATATTAGAAATAATATATTGATGTATATGTAAGAGAAATAATATTTTCTAATTTTATAGATAAATAAAAGTATCATTTAGCATTTAATTAAGCATGTGTGTGCGGGATGTTAGAATAAATCGAATTTTTACACGTTTAACTTAACAAATGTCATTTTAGGTATTACGATTTTGTATTTGTATGGTCCAAATTACGAGAGTTGCGACATTACCAGCTATAAGACTCTAAATTTTGATTATGAATTAAAAAAAATTTCTTCGTAAGAATTAATGGTTAAACTGACAAAAACGTAGGTACGGCATTGCTTGAATCGATGATGGTTGATACTAGTGCATCGTCCGAGCCTTGTAAGCGTTTCAGCAGGAATTAGGCGGACACATATATCGAACAATAGAAGCAGAGAGAGAGAGAGAGAGAGAGAGAGAGAGAGAGAGAGAGAGGGGGGGGG